CCCCCCGCCTCCCACAACAACTCCTCGACCCACCTCCACTAATCCCAGTCTCGCCGCCAGGCCCACCAATACTCTCCGTGGCCGGTCGCCACCTGACCTCACTTCTTCCCTGCCCGACCCTCGCCACCCCTCCGCTCGCCATCAGCCCCTTCCTCTGTTTGCCCGTTGCAACGTTCTGAGGATTCCTTTCTCTCCGCCTGCCTCTCTTCAGCCAGACGGTTTCTCTGTTTCAGGCTCCGCGCAGTTCGCTTCTTTGTCAGCCTCCTCAGCAGTCGCTGCGAGGGCAGATCCGGCTTCTCCAGCAGACTCCAAGCAGCTCGTGTCGAACCTGCAGCCTGAGCAAGAACACAGTGACAGACTCCCTCTGAATCAGAATGCCACGAATGCCTTCCCTGGCAGTTCGGAACCCGAGCGGCTCCACAAGAATGACAGCCTTGGCAATTCCTCCAGAGACCAGTCCACCGAGTCGGTCTCCACCTTGGAGCCCACCAAGGAGCCCACCAAGTCCGATTTAAACACAGTAACCGACAAAGCTCTGCAGCCTTCCAGAACTGAATCTGGGGGAAAAGTATTGCTAGACTCTGACCGCTCTTTTACCCAGCAGGAGGGAGAAGGTAAGTCTTTAGAACCACCTGAAGATGAGGAGCCCAAGGAGACGGAGGAAGGGGATACAGAGCCTGAAGAGGGTGCACCACCCAAAGACGAGAAAGAAATGCCTGGCTCTGCCTCCAGTGAGAACCGTGAAAGCACAGTTTTGGATTCCTGGAGTAGGGAGAAGGATGACCTTTATAAGGATAATCTTGGAAGTTCCAGTGCAGAGAGCAGCCACTTCTTTGCATATCTGGTGACAGCAGCCATTCTCGTTGCTGTCCTCTATATTGCCTACCACAATAAGCGGAAGGTAAGTCAAGAGTTGCTTTAAGAGGAGGGATGGCGGCTTCCCTGGTGGCGCAGTGGTTGAGAGTCCGCCTGCCGACGCAGAAAACACGTGTTCGTGTCCCGGTCCGGGAAGATCCCACGTGCCGCGGAGCGGCTGGGCCCGTGAGCCACGGCCGCTGAGCCTGCGCGTCCGGAGCCTGTGCTCTGCGCTCTGCTAACGGGAGAGGGCACAACAGTGAGAGGCCCGCGTACTGCAAAAAAAAAAAAAAAAGAGGAGGGATGGGATTTCCTCCACCCTGAAAGCTTGGTGTGTGGGTATCCATCACTCATCTGCCTGTAAGCACTAGGAATTGAAAAACAAACTGCAGTTTCTTCTGAGACCCTGCTAGGGTTCTTTATTCTCTTTTAAAAATTATATATTTTCATGTCTGTTTCCTCTGAGTGCCTTCTGCTGTTGCGTCAGGTGCCAAGTTTAGGACGTTATTATGCTCTGACCCAAATTAGGGTCTCCTCCCGTAATCTTGGAACTTACAGTCTGTCACAGCCTGAGAGGACCTGAGTACCTGACAGTCTGTAAGTAGTTAGAGCCCTTATCTTCCTGTTTCCCGTCTCAAAAACACAGTGCTTCCTGTCTTATTATTTCTAGCTTCCTTTCCCAAGCTTTTGTTTTCCATGTGCAGTGGCAGAAAGAATGGTTACATAGTCTTCAACACCAACAGCAGAGAGCCCAGGGACTATATTCTGCAGTCAGTTGAGTTTCTGATTAGACGAAAGGCCAGAAGTTGCATGGATACACTCATCTTTTACTTCAGCAGGGTTTGTTGTGTTGCTTAGTAACCACTCTAAGGACAAAATGATTGCATTCCTTTTTTTTTTAATTGAAGTGTAGTTGATTTACAATGTCGTGCTAGTTTCAGGTGTACGGCACAGTGATTCAGTTATATGTATATATATTCATTTTCAGATTCTTTTTCCCAAAATGATTTCATTTCTTATTGAGCCCTAAGAATTTAGTAGTTTCTGTAGGCTGGTTAAAATTGAAGGATTCAATTCATGATAGCCATAAGGCCTAGGGCTGTGAGAAATGAGGGAAGACATTTAGTAAAAGTGGTATATTCCTGGGAACTCCCTGGCAGTCCAGTGCTTAAGGCGCCGCACTTTCACTGCAGGGGGCATGGGTTTGATCCCTGGTCAGGGAACTAAGATCCTGCATGCCTCGCAACACGGCCACACACACACACACAAAAGTGGTACATTCGTTATTCTACATCCAAGTGCTCCTCATGGAGAGTAGTAACCTTAGGTATGAAATGAGAGTGGTAAGGTTAAGGTGAAGCAAAGTGTGGGGTGAAAGAGTAAATTTTCAGATAAGATAATTATCTTATCTGCAAATTAAATATTGCTTAATATTAAAATAAAAGGAGGGTGGATGGGTCAGCCTGGAGGAGGCTAAGTTGGGGAGGAGTTGGCGGTTCTTTTCACCAAGCGCTCTTGAGTAAATCATATAGACCACCACAGGCTAGAGCCCAGAAGAGCCCTCCTGCATCTGTCATTTCCTGTTTAGCAGTATAAAGGATTCTGATCTAACTAGGCCCTGTCCTCCTTATAATTGTTAATAGGGCCTTTTTGTGGATGTCCTGCCCTTTTTACTGTCAGGGTCATAATAGATGGGCCACCAGGTGATTACCTCTGATTTCAGAGACTGAAATATGTCGTTAGAGAGTCACTTGTTAATCGCTGTCTTGTTCCTTTCCCCAGATTATTGCTTTCGTCCTGGAAGGAAAAAGATCCAAAGTTACACGGCGGCCAAAGGCCAGTGACTACCAGCGTTTGGACCAAAAGGTAAGGAAGGAAGGAGGGATATGCAGTCTCACATGGGCCCAGCAGTGGGCTTGTGTTTGGCATGGCGGCAGCAGCAGCTGATTCTGGGGGTGCTGTTGCCACTGCCCCGCCCTTTTCAGACCACAACATATAGACATCCATGTGAACATGTCTGTGGTGTTCGAGCTAGAAGAGATTCTCAAGGCCTCTGCAACAGCTTCTTTCAACAGATGAGGAAGCTCAGGCCCAGAAACATTATGATTTTTTTTCCCCTACGTTCCCACTACAAGTTCCTGGCAAAATCAAGACCTGAGGGCAACTCCCTTGGCTCCCGGCCTGTACTTTTCACACTCCATCAGCACTTCGCAAATTTTCATAGGCATATGACTCACCCTAGGAATTGTGATTAAAAAAAAAAAGCGAACTCTGTATGGGGTGACCCTATCCTTCTTCATTTCTAGGGAGTTTCCAGGTGACACCACAGGCTGCTGGAACCACACTCCGGGTCGCAAAGCACTAGACCACAGGCCCTGAAAGCAAACAAATCCAGAAATGTAGGCTCTGGGAGCTTCCAGCTCCCTAGATCAGCCCTGCAAATAGACTTCCTGAATGCGGCCAACCCAGGCCTCTGCCAGAAAGCAAAGCCCTCCTTCCACCCCAGAGGCAGCCTGCCTGCATGGGGACACACTGCCTTGCTGCCAGCATGCGCCCTCCCTCCCTCTGTGCAGCCACAGCCGGGACACTGGTAAAGAGTAGTTGGTGCCCGACTTCCCACAGGGAACACAGTCCGCATACCAGTTACAAAATAAGCCCCACAGCTCAGAATCTCTTTGTTAGCTAGCCCAGTAGGTCAGCTGCACAATATAACTCTGGCCTAGAACCTTCCCAGATAATTGACTTTAAGGATTTCTTTTCCCCTTTGTTATAATTTTTTTCTGATTAAAAAAAAAATGTGCATGTAAACAATTCAAAACAATATAGGATGGTGCAAAGTAGACGCCCAAGATTCCCATATGCCCCCCACCAAGTATGTGTCTTTCTAGTGTTTGTTTTATTTCAAACTGACTTTTCAAATAATCTTACGTGCTTTTATTTTATCAGTTGCTATTTGTATGGTGGAGGGTCAGTTTGTCTTAATTTTGAATTTTTCTCCTGAACTGCAACTCCTATAAGATCTTCCCCCCACCTCCCACCCCAAAACCATAGCAGTGAGGTATATTCCTTTGGAAAAAGATGAATGTTACCAATAGATTGTGTTGCTCTTGTTTCAGATTTGATTTTTCTGTTCTTGAGAACCTTGTCCTCCCTGCTGATTTGTTTCTAAATCAAGAAAAATGAAGAGAAAACTACTGTGACCTAAGAGACACACCCCCTCCTCTAGGGTTTGGTGGCAAGTCGGGGCTGGCAGAGGCAGGGGGGGATTGCTTTGGGTTTTGCACCTGCACTTTGGCGAACTTGTCCTCCCGTGTTCCCGTTATTTATGCTGGTGTCTTCTAGCCTGTCCCCCTGAGTGTGAGTAGGGAAGCATGTGGGCGTGCCCAGCTGTGACCAAAGGGAGATCTCAGCCCTGGGCAGGTGACTGCTGCTGACTGCCCTCCCTCGGATCTTGGTCCTGTCGTAAAGTTAGCCCTTGAAAACAGCATTGCACTCGCCACTACTTACCTTCGCGGACCTAGGAGAAAACTACAGGTTGTGGTCCGTTTCTACCAAGGCCTCTCCCTTTGGGGGGATGTGCCCTACAAAAGATGTAGAATGTAGTGAATGCTGATGGGCAAAGGGCTCCTTTGAACACGATTCTCTTCAAAGGCTTCAGCAGCAAACCAAAACAGCAGCTGAAAAACATGCTTTATTGCCTCTGCGAGTCCAACCTGCCTAGTGCAAGCTCTTCACGTTCTTCTGACATTTTCATATTATTTAAGACGAAGTGAAGCCACTTCCATTTAGTTGTACTGAGCAGAAAACCGAACTTGGGGGTTCTGGGAGGAAAGCTGTAAAGCCACTATGCCCATCACAGATGTTTTAAAAATCACAGTTAGGATTATTGGAACATTGTGTTCGTCCCTACTCACCATCATTACAGAAGCTTTTTGAAGTAGGCTGAGTTCATGCTTTGGGCAAGAAAGCAAGGACTGTTTGGTTTGGGTCTAAAAATTTCGAAGGGCTTTTATGAAGCATGTTTCCCACAAACTCTATTTTGCCTTTGTTGCCTAAAATAGACTTACATGTACAAACTGACTATACTCCCTCCTTTACCTGAATCTAGTTAATGGTCCTCTTATCTGATAAAAAACGCCAAGGCTAATTAGTAAAAATTCTCCTTCTGTCCCATGTCAGGGGTTTTTAAAATTTAAGAAACTCAGGGGACTTCCCTGGTGGTCCAGTGGTTAAGACTCCGTGCTCCCAATGCAGGGGGCCCGGGTTCGATCCCTGGTTGGGGAACTAGATCCCGCATTCTGCAGCTAAGACCCAGTGCAGCCAAATAAATGAATAAGTATTAAAAAAAAAAAAAAAGAGGGCCTCCCTGGTGGCGCAGTGGTTGAGAGTCCGCCTGCCGATGCAGGGGATACGGGTTCGTGCCCCGGTACGGGAGGATCCCACATGCCGGGGAGCGGCTGGGCCCGTGAGCCATGGGCGCTGAGCTTGCGCGTCCGACAACGAGAAAGGCCACGACAGTGAGAGGCCCACATATCGCAAAAAAAAAAAAAAAAAAGAAAGAAAGAAACTCAGAGAGTTCCCCTGAGGTAACTGAGGGTAGTGTTTTGGATCAGATTATTGTTTTATCTAAATCTGTTCTAGTTGTGCTACCCTATTATCAAGAGCCTAAAGAGAGTTGTTTCTGGGAAAACAAAAAACAAAAAAACAAAACAAAACTGAAAGAGAATAGCTGATCTTAGGGAAATGCAAAGAATGTGGGAAGTGAGAGGAATAGGATGAATTGTAGGCCACTGAAGAAGTCTGGCGGAAGAAGGGGCCATCCTGTTTGTCATGGTATCTTCCACCTTGCTTAAAACAGCCCGTGACTTTGAGTTGAGATTTTCATTCTCTGCAGGTAACATCTGTAGAGGTAAGGAATGAGGACTCTTCTTGGCATCATCCCCTAAGACCACGGTTATTTATTCCCTTTTCTGTCTCCCCTTTCCCTGCCTTTCTTCCTCCCCTGTAATGTTTTCTCTTTCTTCCTGTCTCCACTCGCCCCTTTCCTTCCATCTTCGTGCATGCCCAGATTCCCCGCTCCCATCCATCCCACTTGTGGTCCAGCTTCCATTCCGTTGCCATGTATCTTCCTCATAACCTTTACAGAGTCACTTCGGTCCTTGTCTTCCTGCTAATAATGTTTTCCCAGAGGTTCAGATCACCAAATCCAGTGGCTTGTTCTCAAAGCTTAGTCTTGTCCCTGATAGAATTGGACACTTAGACCATCAAATCGAACTTCCCCTCTTCTGGTCTCTCTGTCCTGGCTTCTGAGAACTCCTTTGTCTTATCCTGTGCTGGTGGAGAGGAAGGCCCTCAAAGACACGTCTGTGTCTTTTCCTTTGTCTCCCTAGAAACTCGTCCATTCTTTATCCTCTGAGTGAGTGACTCCCAAGTGTTTATCCTTGGCCTAGTTCCCAAAGAACCCAGTCCTGCCGTGTGCTGAATATTTCAGCTTGGTCATCCTGTTGTCACGGAAACGGAATTTCTCTCTTCTACCCATTAAGCTGCCCCTCTCAACTGCCCAATCTCTTTAATCATCTCAACTCCAAACTGCAGACTTGTGCCATTTTTATGTCCTGTCACGAAAGTCCTGTCCATTTTTAGAGAACCATCTCCAGCTACAGTCTTTCCATTTTCTTTGTTTCCCTGCCCCACACCACCACCCATTTCACTTCTCTCCTAGATTTTTTCCCAAGAGCCACCTTAATTGGTCTCCTGTCCATTTTTTGTGTATGCGAAGAGAGCAGAGTGAACTTTCCAGAGTACTTGCCGTGATCTGAAGCGTCTGTCTCGTGGCTTCGAGAACCAAGTTCGTGGACTCTGGTGTTCAGGGCTCCGCAGGCCGGCACTGTCCTGCCTGTCTTTCCCTGCACCCTCGCTGGGCCAAAGGTCCCTCTTGTCGGGCCCATCCAGGCCTCTGTGCCTTTTCGTCCTTGCTGCATCCTCCAGTCCCTGGCTTCCGGTGGCTGTTTTCCAGTTAGGGCGCGTCCCCCCACCTTCTCTTCTTTCCCTCGCCTCCCCAAAACCTGTTTCCTCAGGGCCCAGCTCACGTTTGCCCATGCACCTTCCTGACTCCCCCGCCCCGCGTGATTGGCTCTTTCCATTTTACTATAATAGCTCCTGGTAATGCCACTCACACATTTTGGAACTTGAGCAAAACAGGGCAGCCCGTATCTGCCATCTCTGTCTGGTCTCCCCAAGAAAATGAAGCTCCTTCAGGAGCACCCAGGGCGCCATCTGCGTATCTGCCTAACACGGGACAGTCCCCGGGGACTTGAGTTCAGTTTCTTCTTGTAGAGGAGACATGTTCTTTGTTCAGGACATCTGGCTGTGACTTAACTGAGGTCTCACACGGCTCTTTCTGGCTACTGGTTGCTGTCCCTCATTGATGGATATTGATAGTAAGGAGGAGGGCAGAAAGAAAGATTGGTTTCAGGCACCAAGTAGGTTGGCACCAAGTGGACGCATAAGTATTGTAGAGTCTGCAGAGCTTCACTTTTTGAGCCTCTGAGAAGTATGTTTCTTGTGTGAAAGAGTACAAAAGAATTTAAGTTTCACTTTAGAAACTGCACTGAAAGAAAGCTCCCACAACAAAGGAAAAGTTGTTTTCTGGGTAGTTGTCTTTTTGAAGATAGACTCTTTGAAGCATGTTTTCCTAGAGGTTGTGCAGATGAGGGTGGACTGGTGGGGGAGGGGAGGATCTCTCCAGCTTGGGGGTGGGGGACGCGAGGGGCGGGCATGAGAGGTGCCCTATCCAGACGGCTCTGTGCTTCCTTTCCTGGCCCCAGTTTTTGGTGGCAGGGTGGTTTCTATTTGGAGGAATCTGTGCTTCAGAATTATTTGAAGAGTCCACCTCTGGACTCTGTGGGAGTGGAAGGCTAGTCTACGTAGAAAGGCTAAGATAACTCAGAAAGACCTGACAACTAGCTATGTACACACTGACATTTCTTTTCACATAATGGCTTTCAATGAAACTTTTGGTGACAGAACTCTAAACCTCTAAAATTACCGATAATGATTCTCATTTTCTTCTCCCATTTCATGTCATTTAATTCAAAAGCCTGCCCCTCATTTTTGCAGGGTAACTTGTTATGTAATGCTGCATGTGTGATGCAAGCTAGCACGCTTTGCACATGTTCTGAATCATTTGAACAGGGAAGACGAGTATGCCATACACCAGACCCTGTACTTCTGCCAGCTGTTTTCTAAAAACTCTTGCTAGGACAGTTGAGTTTGGCATTGCCTTGCCTAAGAAAGAATCCTGAGAAGAGATTCTCAAGTTTAATTGAACCGTACATCCAGAACCAAGGCTGAATCTCACCTCAGTTTAAGTCACGTGTGAATTTCCTAAATATCCCAATCTAGAAACTCCTCTGTAAAGGCATTGAGTCTGAGCTGTATAGTGTTTCAAGCTGCCAACAAAGTCAGCTTCCTCACACTTGTCGACATCCGTTTAATTCAGAAGTCTAACATGTTCAATAAATGGTTGATTGTTGAAATCGTTTCCCTTCTTTTTTTGTTTACCCAATCAGCAGGATACTACTGTTTGGCAATGTTTTTGTATTTCCACCTTGTAACTTAACGATAATCACTTAATTTTATTTCTTTAAAGCTTATTTGGGGACTTCCCTGGTGGTCCAGTGGCTAAGGCTCCGCGCTCCCAATGCAGGGGGCCTGGGTTTGATCCCTGGTTAGGGAACTAGACCCCACATGCCACAACTAAGAGTTCGCGTGCCGCAACTGAAGTTCCCACGTGCCACAACTAAAAAGATCCAGCATGCCGCAACAAAGATCCCACACGAGGGAGGCAGTGAAGATCCTGCATGTTGCAACTAAGACCCGGCACAGCCAAATAAATAAATAAATTAAAAAAAAAAAAAAAGCCTATTTGGTCTAATGACAAGTATTTTTCCATATATAATGTTCTACCTAGCTTTTATGAATGCCGTCACCATGTAGTTGTGTATCTCTGCACAGAAACCAAAATAAATTTCAAATGTTAAAGCTCTAAAATCATTAAATTTAATTTTTCTCCTTTTTTTAAAAAAGCACAGTCGATATACATTATATTAGTTTCAGGTACACAACATAGTGATTCAACATCTGTATACATTACAAATTGATCACAGTAAGTCTAGTAACCATCTGTCACCATACAAAGTTATTTCAGTATTATTGATTATATTGTACCTCTTAATCCCCCTCTTAATAAATTTATTAGTACTGTATTGAAATTGATTAAAATAAGGCCTAACGTAAGTGGGAGGTCATTTTTTTTTTTAACCTTTAGCCTTCACTCACCTTCCCACCCGATCCCCATGTAAGTACCAATACACCGGAGACGCATTCCCAGGCTTTGCACACGGTCTGTAATTTCCCATGTTCTGATTGACTGCCTGCCAACCTCCTCCTCACCAGGCAGCCCTTGTCCTAGGTTGGGAGTAGCTGGGCTTCTTGTCATAATATACTCGTTACCTCTCAGGGCTTGTCCTTTGCTGTACCCTTGGCTTGAAAGCTCTCTCCACCTGCATCAACCCCAGTGAAGCTGTCTTTCCAGGCCTCTGCCCTGACGGTGAACACCCCCGTCTCGCTGTGTATTTTAGGAAGCTAAGTCTTGAGGCTCAGGCCCTGAGGTCTGGAAGGGTATCTTGGTGCTGGCATGGTGAGAACCCAATTTAACCCCGATCATAAGGAAGACGAGCCTAGGCCCTGGCTGCATGCGCACTGGACGTTCTTCTGTAACATACACCTCGCTAACTAATGCGTCCTGTCAGCCCCCTGCCCCCACGTCCACATGGACCCTATCACAGGCGTTTCCCCACCCACTGAAAGCCAGTGGAACCAGAAAAATGGGATCTGGAGCCTCTGAACCTATGGAACTACAACCCAAACCATGCTCATCAGGCACCCTCTCTCCACTGTGTAGAACTCCCGCAGAGAGGCACTAAGGGTGAATGGGAAGAGAAGCCTCGGGCCAGTGGGACCACCCTGCTTCAGCCGACCCACACTCTCAAGGGTTCTAGCCACCTGACAAAAGAATATTTGGTTTGATGGCTCAGAGTTAGGAGGTGTGGGTGGGGGATGCAGAGCGCTGCTTGATGAACCATTAAAGTCACCCAAGTCAGTAGCCCACGCTGGGCCTTTCGTAGAGACAGCATGTATAAAAGGTATGAAAGGGGCTTCCCTGGTGGCGCAGTGGTTGAGAGTCCACCTGCCGATGCAGGGGATACGGGTTCGTGCCCCGGTCCGGGAAGATCCCACATGCCGCGGAGCGGCTGGGCCCGTGAGCCATGGCCGCTGAACCTGCGTGTCCGGAGCCTGTGCTCCGCAACGGGAGAGGCCACAACAGTGAGAGGCCTGCGTACCGCAAAAAAAAAAAAGGTATGAAGGATCACCACCAGCCTGGCTGGAAGAGCTTCAGTTTAAGAACCACCATCTAGGGACTTCCCTGACAGTCCAGTGGTTAAAAAAAAAAAAAGGTATGAAGGATCACCACCAGCCTGGCTGGAAGAGCTTCAGTTTAAGAACCACCATCTAGGGACTTCCCTGACAGTCCAGTTGTTGAGACTCTGCACGCCCACTGGAGAGGGCACGGACTTCAATCCCTGGTCAGGGTAAGATCCCACATGCCGTGCAGCACAGCCAAAAAAAAAAAACGCGCCATCTATGCTACACTTGTGTGTCAGACCTCTCATTCAGAAATTAAAAACAAGAGTACGTGATCGAGGAGCTAATGCAGAAAGACATGGGTAAGTCAGGGGCTGTGCCAGAGCACTGGCCAAATTTCCTGACTCATCCCTGACCAAACTGATTCTGTGCCTGGACCCTTGAGCCAAGCTTCTGAAGATCTGAGTACAGGTTCCGCTTCAGGATGGCGCTGCTGCACAGCAGGGCCCCTTGCAGGGCTCCCATCAACCCACAGGTGAAGACATCCTGGCCTAGGAGACAAAAGCAGAGGCCCGTGGGCACTGCTGCCCACCCCCCAAGTGGGGGACAGGGATGGACAAGGGCCCCTGGGCCAGGGCCACCCAGAGATGGCTTCAGACCAGGACCACGACCAGGGTCCACAGCTGCCGAGGCAGCCCAGCTCAGGGTGTAGGAGGCTGCAGGGGGCAGCAGGATCTGAGGACAAGAATGGAGGACTCTTGGTGACAGGGAAGCCCAGGGTCTCAGGTCCTGGCAAAATGCGGCAGTCAGTGTACCTGTCAGGTAGAGGTTGGGGATGGGGCTCTGGGCCCTCATGGAGGCCATCGCACCAGGATGCAGGCGGCCCAGGTCATGGTCAGCCCCGTAGCAGGCCCCCCGGGGAGCTGCCAGGTAGAACTGACTGGTCAACGGGGACCCTCCAGTCACACTGTCCACCTGAGGAGGCAAAAGAGGCAGCGGAAGAGTGGGAGTGGGACCTTGTGAGACCCTCACGTCCTTTCCTGCCCCTGCACGAGCTGCCTGCCAGCACGGGCTCCCTATCCTTTCCTGGAGCTCAGTCAGCCCGGGGCCTGGTTCCCCTGCCCCGAAGAAAGGGTAGAGATGCACCAGCCACAGGAGCCTGCCCTCCTACCTTCCCCTCCAGCTGTGGGAAGAGCTTCAGGATGACCGACAGAGCGGCTTCAACAAAGGAGCTCTTGAGGGTCTCGTAGCCGCTGCTCCGCTTTCCCTGGGGCTCGTCCCGCCACTCCTCGAACCACTCATAGGAGGTGGGCACCAGCACGACCCCTGTGGAGCGGCCTGGGGATGCAGGGCCGGGTAACTACTGCTGCCCCTGCCCCGCCCAAGTCCCCGCCCCAGAACCTCAAGCCCCACCTGAAAACCGGTCCTCCCACGACGGGTCCTTGGCCGACGGGAAAGCAATGAAGAGAACGGGCATGTGCTCTACAGCCCTGTCCGCAGGCAGAGAGAGGTAGTGCTCCATCCTGGGGGAAGAGAGGGGCTGTCGGTCCCGGCCTTGTTCCCCGCAGCCACCAGCACACCCCGAGGGCAGGTCACCCCCAGGGACCCCCGAAGGGATGAGGCCAAGGCACAGCCTAGGTAGGGAAAAGCCCTTCGGGAGTAGATTCTTGCCCATTTCCTCCCATCCTGCATCCTGCTGCTTCTCCCCCAGCATCAGGGGAGGACACCCTCCCCACACACGCACACCCACGCCTTACGCCGTGTCCATGTCTGTGTCAGAATAAACGTAGTAGTTGGTAGACGGCAGCCCCAGGTCCTTCTTGGTGCCTCGGAGGCAGATAAAGACAGAGAACATGCTCAAGCCGGGCCGCACCATCCCCAGTTGCCGCTTCACACCTGCAGAGAGGCGGCAGGACCACGTGAACAAGGCCACCAACTGCTGCCCCTGCCCCGGGAACCTGCGGACACCCGCTCACCTCATCTGCAGCCTCAGACGTTTGGACAACTCGACCTGGCAGGGGCCTGCTCTTTGGTCTCCTGCCTGTGAAGGCCACGGCCTCAGACTTCCGCTCTGAGCGCCTTGAGGAGCAGTGAGTGACGCCCGGCTCTCTGAGCCACTCACTGCCTCCCATCGTCCCCTTAATGTCTCAGTTATGAGCGGATGACGGGGCTCTGCACTACAAAGACCACGGCTAGGAACAGTATTTGGTTGTAAGCCATGGCTTCGGTATTAAGTTGAATACAAACCATCTAATGACTGAATATGCATAATTCCTCCTGTGCTGAACAGTCAGCACAAGGCCTTAAAATGCTAAGTGATGCAGATGAACAGATGCAAATGGCATCACTGGCACTTGGCATTTCAGGGTTCATCTGGCGAGGAGGGAAGAACAGCACTGAGGAGGAAGGCAACAGTCACCGTGGGAGCCTCTGGATGTCCCCTGGACCGAAGCCACTGGGCACTCCCACCTCTCAACAGCTGAGCCCAGACCAGTTTTCTGGAAATTGCTCCCACAGAGTGTTATCCTTTTTTTTTTTTTTTTTTTTTGGCACTTAGTAAGGCAGTATATAAACGTGTCATAAAGAAATCAGTGTGAAGGTTAAGACATATTTTCCCTCAAGCTTTAAAAGGAAGATAAGGAGTTGGGATGGTGATGCTATTCACATGTGAGCCTGAGGAAATAGCCCCGAGGAGGGAGTGTCTCATATCCTGGAAAACTCAGAACTTGTCCAGAAGAATAGAGGTTTTTTGGGAAATTGCCCCCCCAGAGGTTTTTCCTTTTTTTTTTTTTTTTTTTTTTTTGGCGGTACGCGTGCCTCTCACTGGTGTGGCTGGATCACAGGCTCAGGACACGCAGGCTCAGCGGCCATGGCTCACGGGCCCAGCTGCTCCGCGGCAAGTGGCATCTTCCCGGACCGGGGCACGACCCCGTGTCCCCTGCATCGGCAGGCGGACTCTCAACCACTGCGCCACCAGGGAAGCCCCAGAGCCTCATCCTTTGTTCCCATTCCCAGGAACATTTCCAGCCCCTGCCTGAGGAATAAGTCGCCACTGGCTGCTCTGCTTAACTCATGTAACAAATATCTGTTGAGGACCTGAAATGCGCTGGATCCTCTGCGAGGCCTTGGGGACACTGCAAGGAATCGGACGTGATGCCTGTCCACTGTCCACTTTCCTGAAGAAGCTGGCTCTCCTATCACAGGCTGCGAAGACCTGAGTGCTACGGGTAGGGTGACCATAAAACTTATCATCCAAAACAGGCCACTTCTGAGAGTGAAGGGGGCGTTGTAACAATTACAGTAGGACAGCGAGCATAAGACTTCCAGACACCCAGCCGCCCAGCTGTGGGAGCACCGAGCGGGGGCAGGGGATGTGGTGAGTAGTAGTAATTGCCCTGGAAAGTCGGGAGCACCTTCTCCGCTGGGTCCCAGCATCGTTGGGGAACCACAGCTGTGGGCACCCCCTTTCCAGGTGGGGCAGGGTGGGCACAGAGAGAACGAGGGGCCCAGGAGTGATACCCCCAGGTCTTCAGGAGCCCCTTAGCACAGCCATCACCTCCACCCAGCCCCTCCTGTCCCTTTCCCCAGCTAGAAGGAAGGGGTCCAGGTGCCACCCACCTGGCAGAAAAATAGAAACTTGGGTCTCAAATCAGGCACACGACGATGAGACCAAGCCCTGCTTCTCCACACCAGCCTTAGCTCCCCTACTGATTTTGTCAAACTAGTCTTCCCTACTCAAAACACCTCCTCTCCAAACTACCCTCCTCAAAGCTCAGCCGTGGAATTTAAGAAAGGCGCTCCTATTCACAAAGGCTCCCTCTGCCTGACCACCCCACCTCCACCCTCGACCCCAACTAGCACTGCCTGTCCCCAAGGCCACCAGATATCCCATTCCCATCTCTGAGAGCGAGACAGAACTGTGAGAATCTCTACCCCCAAACAGCTGGAAACGTAGGAATCCCAGCACCTGGGGCCTCTGAGTTAAGCATCACTGCTGCCACTGTCTGAAATGCTCTCAAACTGGGATTCATCCACTCCCGCTCGAGAGAGGCAGCTGGTGCTTCAGGCAGGTAGGGGCTGGCACGTGAGACTGCCTTCGGGGCTGAGATATATAAGAGCAGTGGAAGCTGCTTCCGCCAGTGAAGGGAGGCAAGCTCAGGAGCTAAGTCTGTGGCACGGCTGCCTGGAGAGACTGCGGGCCTGGGGGAACACTGGGCCCGTCGGGGGACAGTGTCAGGGTTCAGAGGTCCTAGGAGAGAGGGAGGCACGAAGCACCAAAGGCCACTGGGCGGTCTCTGCCCCACCCCACTCAGCTCACCCGGCCCCGAGAGCGGGGAGGCCCCTGCCGGCAGCAGATGCCGGCCGAGGCCCAGCTAAGTGAGGCGAAGGGCTGAGGAGGCCAGTTCCCGGGAGCACACGGCCTGTACCTCAGAGACAGTCATGACGGCCACCCACCCTCTCCCCCACCGGGAGATCCAAGGTCTCACTCTTCTACTGAACCCACCTCCCTGGGCCCGCCCTCCGGGGCAGAGCGCTCTTTCCACGGCGCTCCTCCCCGGGCACCAGTGAAGTCCGGGGTTTCCGCCCCAAACTCATCGTGAGCGGCTCCCTACTCCCCACCTCCCACCCCAGCCAGAGGCCTTTTCGCAGACGCCTCTCCCTCACCCTCCTGGATCGCTGGTCCCCTCCCAGCCAGCGGCCTCCTCCCCTCAATCACATCGGGCACTGCCAGCTACATTTCCAAATGGTGACGTCCCAGCTAACCTTGGCTCAGCCTCTCTGTTCCTTGTGGGCCGACCTGCTCTCCTGCCCCTTCAAGTGAGGCCTTCTCTCTGGAAGCCCCATGCTTCCCAGCCCAGAGCGGGCCAGCAGCCCAGGCCCAGGAGTCAGACACACCAGCCTTCTCCTCTCAGCTTGGCCACCTCCAGCTGGGTGGCCTTGGGCAGTTATTCGCCTGTGTGCCTCTGTTTCCCCAGCCATCAACATTAGGGTGACGAGCTCTCTACCCAGTGGTCGAGGATCAAGGCAAAAACAAAATCAGGCTTTTAGTTTTGGACACGGCCTATCAGTGGAGATGACTAGACTGAGGCTTATTTTGAGTTCAGGGCTCAAGGAGCGGAGGATACTCCTGCAGCCTCAGCAACAGCAATATTATCAAGGCCGCCTTCACACCAGCCTTAGCTTCCCTTACCAACAACGTCAGATCAGGCTTCCCCACTCAAAATAAGTGAGAAATTGAGGAAGGAAGCAGGATTCATACGGCAAACTCAGTGAAAATCCAAGAAACGTTCCTTTAGGACTCAACCCACCATCATTGACTATCAGAGAGATGATCTAAGATCTAGGGAAACTGGAAATGGGCAACTAGGACTGGAGACTTGAAAGAGGAAAGGGAAACATGGTTGACGTGATAAGAGGAAAGGGAGTAAATTATGCCAAGAATGAAATGAGAGATAAGGACCAAAGGGTCTTTGGGGAGGATGTGATACAAAGGAAGTTGATCCCACCCCCTGAACAGAGGCCTTCTGGGAACGGATGTTAGAAACCGCTGTGCTCACCTTTTCTGCCTATGGAGGGTCAAAGGGCAGAGCTAACGCTGGCGGAAGCATCAGCCAGGCTGAGCCAGCTGGTTGCAGAGGGCAGGCCTGGGGCACCTGGAGGACAGTGACGCAGCCCAGTCGTTTACCTGGCAGACAGCGGGCCTTCTCTGGCAACAAGTGCTCATAGGTGTTGAATAATCCTGCGTTGGAGATCACGATGGGGCAATAGATGCTCACCAGCTCCTGACCCTTCTTCACAGTGACACCTGCAGGCACAAGAGCTTGGCTGAGGTTCCGTAAGCTCCAGGAGGATGAGAAAGGTCCCTATTCCCCACCCCCCAGATCTCTCCCACATCGACCCCGAGCGGGCAGGCCCCAGGCCAAACTGCAAAGTGAGGGAACCATCCTGAGGCACTGCCCGCTTGGCTCACGGCCCCCGCCCTGGCTTCCTACCTCTCTCCCCACCCTGCGTGGGCGCGCTTCTCTTGAGCCACCCACCAACCTTCACACGAGCCTTGAAAGAGCCCATGGGCTGAAGGCCTTCACTGGAATCCTAGTCCCTTCTTCACAGCTGCCAGACTTCCCGTTCCAACATACGCTCTTTTTAAAATCCTCCAATCTTGTCTCAGCCTTCCCTGATGTGGTCCCTTTCGTGCGTCCAGCCTCATCTCTGGCCATTCTCACTCAGCTATTAGGTAGGACTGTATGAAATAGCTGATAGTCAACCGTTCTTTTTAACCTATAAATGTGGCAGTCTCTTATGATTCAACCTAACATTTTCAGATGCCTAAAAATACTCAGCTCTCTCATACCTCTGTGCCTCTGCACATTCTGTTCCCCCTGCCTGGAATAGCCACCCCTCCCCTCTGGCTAGCTTCCTCTCACCCTTCATGACCTCCCTCTGAGGCCTTCCCCGTTCCACCATCCTCTGTGTCACCTCCATCCTTGGTGCCTGCCTCTATGGCACTTTAATCATATCGCAGTCATCTTCCCTGTGAGACTGGAAACTTCTTGAGTTAGAGATTAGGATTTACTTATCTTTTATCACCTAGCACGTGAAAAACACAAATAAATATATCCGCAACTGAATTTAATTGAACTGATATTCCCACCTTGGTTCACAGATCCCCTGACGGCTGGAAGGAGAGCTTGCTCGTGAACATGAGAGCAAGTCTCACACATTGGACAGCCACCCCTCTCTCACCACCGGGAACTTCCCAGTCTCATCTACACACATGCCCTTGGAGACCGCTGACGGCCTTTCCTCCCTTGATTTTTGCGTGCCCTGGGCTACCCACTCACCACCTCCTCCTTGAAAGACTCCTCTGGTGAATTTACTGTCACACCAGCTCTGTTTTCCCCAGGCCTCTCTCTGCCCCCTTAGCTGATGCTTCTGAAGCACCCGCCGCCTGGATGGCCTGTTCTGTTTACCAGAGTCCTTCCTTGCATAGAGCCTCTCCTCACGGAGTTCATCCACGGTGGGATTTTCATGCTCTGTGCAGGTGACAGCAAACACCTGAGCCAGGGTAGAGTCTGGGTCCCACTCTGCCATTTACACATTGAAGGCAGGGCATCCTGCCGGCCTCCACACCACCCTACAAGCACCCAGGTTACGTACTCACTCCATCAGTCACTGAACAAACAGTTACTGGGCTCTATTATGTGCTGAAGTCTATAGACATAAAGATTAAAAAGACACACCCGCTACACTCAGGAGGTCCTAGATTACCAGATAACTATTTTTATCTATTGAATAAATGATGAAATACTGTTCTCTGGGAACCATGCCACCCTTTATCCTTCCCGTGTCCTTTTTGCTTCCAGGCCAATCGCTATCCCCGGGCAGCCCCAGCTTGGGGCAGATTCCAGCCTTTAACCCCCCACTTGGAGGTCAGTCCTTCTACACCTTCTGCCCTCAGTGCTTTCGTTGCTCTGCACCCAGAGACCCCAGGTCTCTCCCACCCCGGCCAGAGACTGTGAAGACAATGCAGGGCTCTTACCGCAGGCCTTCCCAGCTGAGTCCAGCAAGATGCTCTGCACAGGGGCCCTAGTCAAGACAGCACCCCCGGCCCGCTGAATCACAGGGATGGTGTGGAAAGCGATTTCACTGGAACCCCCTCGGGGATAAAAGGCCCCTTTTATGTAGTGGTCAACCAGCAGAGCATGCATGGCAAAGGTGGTGTGGCTGGCGGTCACACCTACAGAAGGAAGGAAGGGGTGATGAGGCAGGAGGGGCAGCAGTACCTTCGTTCAGAAAGGAATACGGGTTCCCATCAGAAAACACGCAACCTTTGGGAATTCCCTGGCGGTCCAGCGGGTTAGGACCCGGTGCTTTCACTGCCAGGGGCCCGGGTTCAATCCCTGGTTGGGGAGCTAAGATCCCGCAAGCCGTGAGGCATGGCCAAAAAAAAAAAAGGAAAACACGCAGCCTGAGGCTATGCATCCCAGGATCCAAGTGATCCCCAGGGCTCAGGGCAGCCAGAGGGCCTGTTTCCATCCAAATGTGGGGAACCTTACAGGTCTTGGGGCCAGTGGGAACGTCCTCCCTGAAAACTGTCATGCTGCCAGGGAGGACAGTTTGGGTTGGAAAGGAAAGTCATCCAGGGCGTGGGTGAAGGGAATTTTTATCAGCGTGTCCAGTAGGGAGGCGGACAGACATCTCCTCCATAAGCTCCAGAGGGCCTGGGGTGTGTGCTGTTCCAGTTCAGTCAGCCAAGCAGGCTCAGGAAGAAAGACTGAGAGCCAGGAGCTGCCTGGGGCCCAAGGCCAGTACCCACCATAAGTGGGAAAGATGTAGCTGAGCACGGCCTGGAGCTCCGCGGAGGCTGGCAGCTCCCGCAGGACCTCGGCCAGGCTCTGGGTGGATGCGTGGAGGAACGGAGAGAAATGGGTGAGCAACCCATATTTGTTGAGGACCTGAACCATGGGCAGCGGGAGGATCTTCAACAAGATGGCATGACTGACTCCTCTGGATACCACCTGGGGAAGGGAATGAGCAGGGAGGAACAGGTCTCATCTCCTGACTCGCCTTTCCAACAGCCTGCACAGCCCAAGGGCCAGCAACACTTAGCCCTGGCTGAACTTGGCTGAATTTGGATTTTAAAACACTGTACTTGGGACTTCCCTGGTGGCAAAGTGGTTAAGAATCCACCTGCCAGTGCAGGGAACACGGGTTCGATCCCTGGTCCGGGAAGATCCCACATGCCACGGAGCAACTAAGCCTGGGAGCCACAACTACTGAGCCCGCATGCCACAACTACTGAAGCCCACTTGCGTAGAGCCCGTGCTCCGCAATGAGAGAAGCCACTGCAATGAGAAGCCCGCGCACCGCAATGAGTAGCTCCAACTCGCCGCAACTAGAGAAAGCCCGCGCGCAGCAGTGAAGACCCAAAGCAGCCAAATATAAAAAAGTAAATAAATTTATAAACAAAAAAACAAAAAACTCCGTACTCTGTGAATTTTTCCCATTCTACCCTCAGGTGAGTCCTTTTTTGCTTCTCAGTTTCCAGCCCAAATTCCTTTTGAATAATCCCAATCAGATGAAGTGAAAAAGAGTGGTGATATGACCACAGGGAGGCCAGCGTGGTCAGCGAGGAGAGCTGAGCACCCCCCAGAGGCCAGAGTGAGAGTGGCAGCTGCAGAGCCCAGGCTCCAGAGACAGAGGGCCCACGGGGCACAGAGGCCAACTCCAGTGGAGGCTGAGTTCCAGACAGACAGGCCTGTTCCTCCTTCCTGCCTCCCTAACCCATCACTCCGCTAATGAGGAAGGTCAGCCTTGCTGGGAATAGGCAGGGGGTCCTCAGCATGTCCGTGTTACCTTAACCAGCCTTATATACTTGTCAATGGCAGCTTCCTCCTGGGGAAACTTCTCCTTGAGGCCCTGTATGTAGGCTTTCTCCCCACTGTACATGGGAAACTCCTTTCGGCCATTGGGCCCTTCTAGTACCATGATGTCAAAGGGAGAGGCCGTGGGAGCCCAGTCCAACTGCCCCTCAGTGATCTGGTCCAAGATAAAACGGCCAAAGCTGCCCTCCTGCATGCGCCCGATATAATGGATTCCTGTTGGGAGACAGAAAAACAAAGTGTCATAGGGATATGGGGATTGAGCCCTGGAAAAGCTCCAACAAGGAAGCAAGGTTAAAGAGGTTGTCCTGCAGGGCTGAGTCTGTGCCCAGAGCGGGTACCCACCCTTTCTGTAGAGGGGAGTTGCAGCAGAAACCACCAAATCCCTGCCCAGTTCAGCTGCCAGTGGGTACAGCTGTCAGACAAGGAAAGCGGTGCCCAGGGAGAAGACGGGGCCTCCAAAATCATAGAAATGCCCAGGATTGTCCCACCATGGCTGCTCCAAACCGCCTGCTCCCAGCCCTTTTCCACAGAAGCCTTACCTGTGTCAAATTCAAGGCCATCCTGTCCAAAGGTATGACAACAGCCTCCCGCCTTGGTATGTTGTTCCAGCACCAGAACTCGCTTGCCAGCTTTGGTCAGGATCGCAGCTGCCACCAGGCCCCCAAAGCCACTGCCTATGACCACCACATCCAGCTTCTCTGGCACTCGGCTGGCTGAGAAAGCTGCAGCAGATGGAGATGGAGGTGGGGGCTTCTTGCGGGGGGGGGGCGGCAGTGAAAGAGCAGCGATGTGGAAACCAAGGCAGAATTCTCTAGCTTGTACAACGCCAGAGAACTCTAGAGCAGTTTGGCAAGGAGCTCCTGTCTGAAACATTTTACCTGGGAAATATTCAGGACCAGCCAGGCGGGTTAAACAAAGTGATTTGGTTTGATCTGAACTGATTTAAGGAAAGCCACTATGTAGCTGGGGATTTTTCCTACTTGCAAAGAAAGTAAAAAATCCACAAACTATCATAGGAACAAAACAATGCTGCAATACAGGCTGAGAAACCTAAGTGCAGACAGAGTGCGAGCTAGGGAAGAAAGAAAACGAGGAGGGGGACGGGGGCCAGTGCAGGCTGCTGGCTCATGGACTGGTCCATTCACAAGCAGGTTATCTTTGGAAAATGCAGGGTCTGCAGCTAGCAGTGGAGCAGCCCAGTCGGATGATGGTTCTTCAACATCCTGATGCAGAGGCAGGACAGAGCTGCTCTGAGAAATCGTGGAGGTGGGGTTGAGGAGGAAGCCCTAAACAAGACAAAACTGGACAGCCCGTGGTGCCGTATGGGCACTTCCTACACAAGATCTGTTCTTTCAAGATCACTTCTAAAGGGACTTCCCTGGTGGCGCAGGGGTTAAGAATCCACCTGCCAATCCAGGGGACACGGGTTCAAGCCCTGGTCCGGGAAGGTCCCACACGCTGTGGAGCAACCAAGCCCGTGCACCACAAGTACTGAGCCTGCGCTCTAGAGCCCACGTGCCACAACTACTGAGCCCACGTGCCACAACTACTGAAGCCCACACATCTAGAGGCCGTGCTCCACAAGAGAAGCCACCACAATGAGAAGCCCATGCACCACAACGAAGACCTAACACAGCCATAAATAAATAAATAAATTTATTTTAAAAAAAAGATCACTCCTGAAGAACTGAGATTTGGAATTTTTCAAGCTGCTAGGGAACTCAGTAAACTTTCAACTTTTCAAATGTTTTTTAAAAGACCTATAGTGAAAAATATATTTCATATTCACATCCCAGAACATATGTTTGTATATAATATAAATACCTGAAACAGAAGTTTCACAATACTTACCAGAACCATGTATTATGCACTCTGATAGTTTCCATTCTACTACCCACTAAGAGATGACAACCTGGTTTGAAAAACAGTTAAACTAGTCATCTCACTTTTAGACCAATCCAGATAAATGGAGTGACTTGCTAATGGTTTCACAGCAAATTAGTGACAGAGTCCAATGAAAACTCTGATCTCAGAAGTTCAAACTAATAGGCCTTCCACTTAGAACAATACTGTCTCCAACTGTGTAGCAAGACTTGTTGCGCAGAATACTAAAATTTACAAGTGAACAGATGAGAGAGATCTCGGATATAAACAGATTATTCTTTTTACAGGTTCTTTTTTTTTTTTTCTTTTTAAGCAGTAGAACTCTTTCTTTAAAACCTTAGAAGAAACTCGCAAATACTTTTTAAAGATGACAGTGCAGGTCAATGGAAGAGCAGCTCTGAGCCTGAGTCACCCCGTTGAGCCTCGTTTCAACAAGAGATGGGAGCAGGCATAACCAGTCAAATCACTTGATGGGCCAAATGCAATTTCCTATAAAGGTTTCTGTGCAGCTCTCCCAAGTCCCTGAACCCATGGGGAAGATAAGTGAAAACGTTAAGGTCTTAAAGCAAAGTAGGGGAAAGGTCTCTTGCTTATCCGGTTAGCCACCTCTTTTTATCCGGTTAGCCACCGCTATACTAAGTGGCAGGGCCTGAGCGTGGCTATGCCAAAAACTTGGCTCGCCGAGGACGATGCCCGCGCCCGTGTGGCCACGATTCCCCGGGCCTGCGGGGACCAAGGCTCTCGCCAGTGGCGGACTCTAAAGCGGGTGCCTCCACGTGCAAAGAAGCCCTCCCATCACTCTGCATCCGGGGAACGCTAACCCGCGAGGATGCCAGGGCGCAGCCTCGGACCCCGGGGTCCCTCCCGCTCACCTTGCTTGAGAACCTTCTTCCTGGCCTCCTTGTCGGTCACCAGGGGCGCGGGTGGCCGCTTGACATCCTCGGAGAAGGGGTTCGGGGAGCTGCCGGAGAACAACCCCTTGCAAACTTTGCCGAGGACGGCCAGCAGCAGCGCAGCCAGCGGCAGCAGTAACAGCCACATCGCGCTGGCGTCGGAACCCGTCCGCTCTGACTGCGCCGGGGCTCTGCGGCCGCGGCTCTGCCCAGTTAGCTTATCCTCGCATCCGGAAAGCACAGCCAACTTCGGCCACTTCTCAGCCAGGCCCTTTTTGGCCAGAAGCCAAGTCTCCGGCGGACATTGACCATGGCGGCTCGTCGTACTCACGTCTCTGGCGGCGCGGAGGAGGGCCGTGCGCATGCGCGGAGGCGGGCCGTGCGCATGCGCGGAGGAGGCCCGGAGGGGCTGAGGCACCCCAATCGCGAAAGCTCTGGGAGCTCGGGTGCTCAGCCGGCGAGCCCCGGGGGTCCTAGGAGAAGGAATGTGGGACGGAAATGGTCGCCCTGGGGCGAGACAAGGCTGAGAGTTGCAGAACAGAGAGAGACTCCTTACTGGCAGACCGGAGACCTCGGTTTTGGTCTCGCTGGATGACCTGAGGCAAGTTGCTTACCTGTTTTCCCCACCGAGAAAGTTTCTGTCCAGAGCCCCCACCCTCTCTGGCTGGGTGTCTCGATGGACTGAGATCTCTGTTAACATACGCGCATCGCAGCCGGCGAGCACCGGGATTTGTGACCCCAAATTGGCCAATAGTTTTGGCCGCGGCGCCCCCCTGGGATGGTGATGCCTGCGGCGGAGGCCTGGTCGGGGCTGGTAGGGCCGGGGAGGCCCAAGCGACAAGGCCGATGAAAGAACTGGCATACCTGTGTGCGCATTTGTATTTAAGGTGTGGACCCAATTTCTAGGTTAAATACCTATTCAGAGAGTTTAAGCTCTAGCAAGCTTAAACTTAAAATCATTCCCCTTAATGTAGCTCATTGCCTAAAGTGGGTGCACCATAAAAATAAACAAGGACCTACTGTATAGCACAGGGAACTATATTCAATATCTTGTAATAACCTATAATGGAAAGCTATCCGAAAAAGAATATCTATATTCAGATATATATTATATGTATAATTGAATCACTGTGCTGTACATCTGAAACTAACATGACATTGAAAATCAACTCCAATTAAAAAAATTTTTTTAATTAAAAAAGTAAAGTGGGTGCACCATAAATACTGAATTTGGAAAGGATCCATCTTTATAGGAAGGCCATTTCTTCAGGCCCAGCCATGAGGACCTTGCCTAATATTGGTAGGAGTGACTTTGTGATTTCCAGTACTTGCTTGTTTGACAGTTTCTGCTCTTTTCTTTCTCTGTTACAGATAGTAACTGTCCCTATTGAAGCCCCCAGCGGGGCTGCAGACAGAACTGAGGCGCTAGCAGGCATGTAAAGCTGGTCATGCATCTATGCTGCTTGATACGTTTCGAGCCCAGTAACAGAAGAGCCTTCCTGAGATTGCCGTCACCATACTTGCCTGTCACCTTCGCAGGGTTGGCCAGTGTGTGAGTGTTTGGTCGTATGCTGTCGTGGAGGTCAAGGAGGAGGGAAAGGAAAGGGAGGCAGATGCTGAGACCCCAGAGAGAGCTAGTTCCTGAGGAGCACTGCCCTTCCCCTCAATTACAGTGAGCCAAATGTCTAGCCCTAGAGTCGGGAGGTGTTCCCACTCTTGGTGTTAGGAATCAGTCAGTGCGTCCTGCCCCCTGACAAAGAGTCCATCTTGTTACTGGCAGCCAGTTTGTAGGGAACCCAGATCATATTCTCTGGAGGGCTGACCTCAGAGCAGTGCCACCCTCCTTCCTTAGTCAACCAAGTCTGGGGAATTCCCTGGCAGTCCAGTGGTTAGAACTTCATGCTTTCACTGCCAAGGGCCTGGGTTCAGCCCCTGGTCAGGGAACTAAGATCCTGCAAGCCGTGCAGCATGCCAAAAAAAAGTCAACCAAGTTTGTGAGGTACGACTGCCAGTCATCTGCATACTTATCCAGATTCTTGTTGTGACAGACATCCATGGTGTCCACTTGCCCCATGATGAGGTGTGGGCCTGTCCAGCCCTCTTCCTAAGGTGGACTCATGGGAGGAAGGGCTTAGAGCTAGCCACGCTGGCTAGGCAGCTGCCACATGTACAATGTTGGTGCTAACTGAGGAGGGGTAGGCACAGTGTTGCATTTTGAGTTTCTACCATCGTAGGAACCAAATCTGGTATTAGGCCCAACCTGCGTCTGAGACCTAAGCAAAGCCTGAGCACTTCAGCTAAGACCATGCACCAACGTGTCACTCTAAATCAGCCTCACCCCTTTGAGATGCTGCCCCACATCTGAGGAACTTCATCGTCAGAAACAGATCCCCACTACTTACAGTGGTGCTGCCTCCTGGGTACTGATGGTCCAGCCCTCGGACTCCTGCAGGGACCCCTTCTTTCCATCCAGTGACATGGATAATAAGAGGCAGGCATTTGGCTAAAGAAGCCTGTTTATTCAGAATATGTTTACAGCTGCTTGAAGATTTTTAAAGTCAGTTCTTTTTTTTTTTTTTTTTTTTCGGGACGGGGGGCCTCTCCCCGCCGCAGCCCCTCCTGTTGCGGAGCACAGGCTCCGGACGCGCAGGCCCAGCGGCCATGGCCCACGGGCCCAGCCGCTCCGCGGCATG